TTGCCTACACCCATTTTTATCTCAAAATCTCACTAACTTCACTTTTTGACCCAAAAAGGGCCTTAATCCTTTTTATTTAAGTCTTTTACTTAATTCAACCCAATAATGCATGATTAATTATTTAATCACATGCATTTTCCTAAATACTTAGGTTAGGGATAGTATACTTTACAATTATTTTTGTTAATATTGGATGAAAATGAAATTAATGACTCATTTGATATAATTTTATAACCGTTAGATTTGATTTTGATACAATAATAACAAAAATAAATATTAGAAAATGAAGAACTGAGCTTTAACTCATGGGTCTTCATTGGAACAAGATGAGAGATGTACTTACAAAACACTTCAACGTTTTTGTGTTAGCAAGTTTATTCATGTAAAAGAAGATGTGTACCTTATGTTTAGCACACTTGTATTTATAGCGGGGGGATGACCACCTTTGGGGGTACAAGTGGTGAAGCAGCAAGTTTTCAATTGGTCCTTGTGTAAGTGGCTTGAGATCAGTTTGCATAGAAGTTACAGAAGTAATATGGCTGAAGCACAAGATAAGACTAAAATTCTTTCTTGAATATACTTTTTTTCATAACGAAGACTTTAAATGTGGGTCATATATTTCATTTCAAATCAGCTACGAATGGAAATTTTGAAAACTAATAACAAAAATATCATTCAAATAATTTTTCATTTTCTTACTTGGTAGGTGCAAAGACTAACAAGGTGGCTAGCCATTTCAATCAAAAATATTTTTCACAATTCAAGAGTTGTTGGTCTAGTGATAAATAAGTTCAATCCTGAAATATAATTTGTTCAAAGGGTGATTAGTTTAATTTATGAAGTTGTAGCTCTTGAAAATAGTGAAAAAGTTCAAATCCAAAATTAAATTAACCGGGCCATAAATGTTTGTCGAATAGGATACTGTGTACTGTGTACTATTGGTTATTTTTAATGGAAAAGGAAGGAACAATAATGGTTGATACTTGATATTATGTAAATGGCTTTTTAATTGCAACATAATTCAACATTTTTATATAATGCATGCACATGACTCCGCTGGATTTGGGTTGTTAAATGAAAAATGGTAAAGAGAAAGATGATCATGTGCTCTGACTGCTAGCAAAGATAATAATGGGAGAAGCTAACAAGTCTTTCATGGGGAAGTGGAAAATACAAGGACAATTAACCTTATCCTTGTCTCTGTTTGTCTGCTCCTTTCGGTCTCTTTTCTCTTCCTCTTCAACCACACTCAAGTGCCGATATACTAACACCGGAGAGAATTTAAGAAGTCAACTATTGGTCACTTGTGCTAAGTGGGTTTAGATTTTAGATACATATTTGTTTTAGTAATAAGTAAAGTTGCATTCATTGTTGCCTTGAAATAGCTCAAGTTTTAGAGTTTTGTCAAAATTAAATCTCATGTCTCCTCTTCAATTTCCTTTCTCTCGTGGAATTTCTCTTAAAATTTATCTCAATGATGAGTCCTTTCTTTGTCTTATAGTGCTCAAAACCCAATCCACGGCCATTCTTAATGCCCAAAAGTTCCATACAATATGCAAATCTCAGAATGACTAAACCGACAATTGCAGGGAATAAAATTGATGAAAGTCATCTTTTAATTAATATGATTTGAAGAAGAATCAACCTCAACATGTTAATTAATTACTATATTAATCTATTTAAGCGTCCAAAATATGCGAAATTCATTGGCGGTGGCCGTGGAAGGAGAGATGTGACAAGTCACTTTCCCGCATAAGTGGGTGAGGGTCACAGGTGTTTCAATACTACAATAAAGCAAAAGTTCACCGACATGAGTTGGTCCACAAGGAAGAATCCAGGTTTTTTTAAGTACATAATCTGAATTGTATAAAAAGAAGGAAATATAATAATGTAGGATGAAAAATCTGATTATGTTAGATACGCTGGTATATAATTATAGGGAAAGGATATTGTAATAATTAATTAATGTTACTACCAATAGTATTATCAATCAATTTCACTATTAGATTGATTATGTTGATCTAACGGTTATATATATTTTTATCTTTGTATGGTTATTATTTCTCATATATAATACTTTATATTTATTTTTTCCTTTGTATGGATATGATTTTTCATTTTTAATGTGAAAACATTAAAGAGAAAATATTTTCCATGTCGTAGGAGAGTTGTTTTCTACTACTATTGACCCTTCGATTTGCGTGTAATATTTTCTTTTGCTTTTTATTTTTTAATAGATGTGGGCCCCACGTAAGATGTGTCTACAATATGAAAAAAATTTCTCCTACCGCATGAGAAAATCGAAACCCAACATTAAATATGGAAAATCATAATCATACAAAAATAAAAATAAATATAGCCATTAAATCAACATAATCAATCTAACGGTAAAATTGATTGGTAGTAACATTGATAATAATACTAATTGGTTATTATAATATCATATCTAATAATTATAATATAAATTTTTTTCTGTCATATCCGCTGACAATATTTTAAATTGAGAAAAAAATGGCTTTTAATATTATAATTATATATTATCTAATATGTATAGTTATATTTTTTTATGTAGGATCAAATTTTTTTTCCTGTAACATAATGGATTGAAATCCTATAAAAAGATTATTGTTAAAAAATATTTTTTAACAAATTCACAATAAAATTTTAACATTACAATTTTTTCAAAAAGCAAGAAGGGAGAGACTTAGGCTACAAAGCATGGACACGCGTTTGAAAAAAAAAAAGTGCGTGTCAGACACGGACACGCGTCCAACACGTGATCAATATTTGGAGACACACGGTCAACTCTTCGACATGTTTTGACACATTTTTCTGACACGCGGTCAACTTTTTCGGACACGCGGTCAACGCTCGGACACGTTTTTTTTTTTAATCTTAATTTTATTTTGTTAACTAAATATAAAAGAAATTAATTTATAAATTAATTTTTTTATGTTATGAGATTTGACGTGAAAATTTAACAAAGTACGAAAAATTATTTATTTATGTTATGAAATTTAAATATTTGATTAGTTATATGACTGATTATGGATTCTTATATGTATTAAATATAAATTATATTATATATATTAAAAATTTTATTTAATATCAAAACGTGTCATAACGTGTCAAAATATAACATTTTTTAAAATTAACGTGTCAGCGTGTCGTGTCGTGTCCCGTGTCCGTGCATCATTGGACTTAGTTAGCGCAGTGCGCATAGACCATAGTTCATGCACTGTTTGCCCAAAAAGCAGAAAAGGCCAAAAGAGTTACTGTATTCTAGGAGGTAGGTGACCTAGGATACTTAATTGAGAAATATTAACCGTAAGTTTTATATTTGAGGGATAAATTATTAATTGATAATGTGGTAAGGGCATGTTTGCTGTGACGTATAAGGTATGATAGTATAAGTTTATACTATATGTTATGACATTTTCAGTTGTTGGTGTGACCATCGTATAGTATAAGCTTATACAACATAATCCTTTAATACATCAAAATAATATATAACTTAATCCGGTCTAAGAGTGAGGGATAAGGCCTCATAAGAGATTGATGTATTAACATTGTTGACCAATGTAATTTTCAAAAATTAATATATTATTTAATATTAATCTATTAAAATAAAAATTAATTTTTCAATATATTAATTTTTAAAATATTGGATATTTTATTTTTATAAAAATTAAATTTATATTTTGGACACACTGGTCAATAAATTTTTATAAAAATTAATATCATATGACATTTTTTGAAGAATTATATAAATTCTTTATTAAAAGATATTTTTATTAAAAATATTTATTTTTATCATATATAGTATTATACAGTGCATTACCAAATACTAGATGATATTATCTTATACAATATATTATTTTATACAATACCGTGTCAAATACTGTATAGTATTAAAATTCAATCAGACCTTATACTATCAGGTCTTATACTATCAGGCCTTATCTTATATTATACACCAAACATATCCTAAATAAAGTGGATATAAATGGATGAATCTATTAATCCAATATCTAATTTTGGAGCAAGACATAATATTAGACTCACTTATTAATATTGGTGTAGACACTGTACGATCCCACTTAACATCCCATTTGCTCACAATTTACATCGTAAGCAGCACAGCACTCAGCACATATACCATTTCTATTTTCTTAGCGTGTATTCTCAAATTAAATACATTCGTTAAATAGCATTTTTCTACGGTTCGTGGGAAGCAACAACAGACACGTCGTACGACCTTTTAAGCGTGAAACACATTTAAATGAGTGAAAGGGGCAATTGGTCTACGAGACAGGTTTCCGACATAGATTCATGGGACGTCAGCAATCAGGTGGATGAATCTAAGGTGTTGTATATTGAGACTTGGCGCGCAGACATGTTGTCGGAATAATTGTTATGACTTTTTTTCTCATAAACAACGGTGGCTATAAGTGATAAGCTCGGGAGCTTCGAGTGCAGTAAAGCGTGAGATTCGGATTAGATTACGTTGATTTCGTTTAACACTTAACACGGATCCAATGCAATTTGTTTTTTGTAACTATGTAAGCATTATGACAAACATAAGGGTCAAGCACACATCAATCACCTTTTTGAACCAGCTAATAAGCCAAAATTTTTCCATAGTCTCACTTAGCGACTCATTTATCGGTAATCACTCATTCGACCATGTCGCCTTGTACATTGTCAAAACTCATCTCGTGCTTCACATTATTTATTCGAATGCTTTTAATTTTCCATTACTTTTTCTTCACTAACCATTTATTAGGCTGTGCTTGTTTTGTTGGATTCCTATAAACACTAATGGGCTTGAGAAAGCCCAAAAGGGAAAAGATCAATATACCTTAAATGTAGCATCAAAGATATTGCCTGTGGAAGGCCCAACTAATGAAGGAATAAGCACACATCACAGTGTACATGAAGAAGAAAAAAAGCCCAAAAAGAAGAGAGTGTGATGTGGCAGAACCAATGGATGTGAGAGAAATGAAAGAGGAATAGGTTTGAGTTGAATGAGGAGAGAGCACACAAAAAGATGAAAATGAGTGGCATAGCATTAGGATTCACACCCACAGCCTACAATCCCAGAATCCCTTCATTAAAATCTCAGAAAATCACCACAACCAAAACCAGAGTCTCAGTCTCAGTCTCAGTCTCAGTCCAACCACAACAAGCCTTCACCTCTGACCCCTTTGTTCTTGAACTCGCAGAAACCCTTGAAGATTCCGTTCCCACACCACTCCCACTCCAGAAGCTCAGAGACTCATCCTCCGAAACCCTTCTCTCAACTCCATGGCCTTCTCGCAAAGACGAATCCTTTCGATTCACCGACGTTTCCTTCATTCGCCACTCCCGAATCCTCCCTGTCTCCTCCGACCCTTCGCCCCTCTCCGCCGTTCCCTCCGACACCCACTTCCCTTCTCTTACCATCGTTGACGGCCACTTGGTACAGTCAACGGCAAACTTGTCGGAGTTTCCGAAAGGGGTTTACGTGGGTACCCTGTCGGGTCTCGCTTCGACGCCTATGATGGAAAAGGTGTCGGAATTGATGTGTGGATTCAACGGTGGTGATTTGTTTTGGTCCATCAATGGAATTGGCGCTCCTGATTTGACGGTGGTGTATGTACCCGAGGGTTGCCGCGTGGAAAAGCCCATCCATTTGGGGTACTTTTCAATGGAGGGTAGCAAGGAGGGTTCCAACACAATGCGCGTTTCGAATCCGAGGGTGCTGGTGGTGGTGGAGAAGGGAGGTGAGGTCGATATAATTGAGGAGTTTTCCACAATGGAAGGGAATGAGAATGAGTGTTATTGGACCAATGCAGCTTTGGAGGCAGTGATTGGAGAAGGTGCAAAGCTCAGGCATTCTTATATTCAGGCTCAGTCATCTAGTGCAGCACATATCAAATGGACCTCTGTTCGCCAGGTGAATCATCTTACTAAGGAGTCCAGTTAAAGTGGCTTGTGTGGCAAAAATTTAAATTAAAATTGCACTTGCACTAAAAGTTTTTTCCAAGTGATTTTGTCGTTAATGCCAAGTGTTAACAAATTCATATACCTATTAGTGACAATGGAAAATGGAAATAAATTGAAGAATAAAAAAGGATGATTGCAGGGAACTGGGGGCTAATTTTTAGGTTTTTTATTTATTTATTTTCCTTTCAATATCGGGTGCTGAAAATTAAGGCAATTGATTTATTAAAACTAAAAGAGTCAACCTCAAGGCTATCTAACTTGCAAGGATAGGGATGAGGGTCATTGGTATGAAGTCTAACCGTGTTTTTTTGCAAAAAGGCCGTTTTCCCACTACCTTCCGGTCAAAAAGAGCAACCTTACAGTTGTTTCAAGGCTTAAGGCAATTGATGTATTCAGGGGATTTTTTGAAACATAGTTTATTGCTAGATTTAGCTGCGGAATAATTACTTCAGTTGTTCATTGATGTCATAGTTTAACAAACTCATAGTTGTCATGAACTTATTGATATTCTCTCTTTAGTTACCAGTATGTTGTTTAATAAACTAGGGACCTTGTTATCCATACTCTTGAGAGGAAAAGAAGAGATAGATTTAATATAAATGAGTGGGAAGCATGCGTGCCCGTGTGCGTATGTGAGAGGTAGAGGAGGGGGCAGGGGGTAGTCCCTCTGCTTTTTCCAGAATGGGCCACTTCAAAACTGGGCCTGTGCCTAGGCTAGAGGTATACTCCTCAAGATAAGTTTGCTGGAGTTTTTTTAGCTGTGGAAAAGGATGAGTGTCGTTCAATAATGCAAGCATTAGTTAGTGACTATTCAATATAGATACTCGAGAAGAAAGATTTTACTCACAAGCAGATTTGTTGGACTCCAATTGACATGATGCTTGCCTGATAAATTGGATGGTGAATACATTGGCCTCCATCGTGTTCATTTCCAAATCAATTTTAAGCAAACCAGTTGTCAGCTGAAACCATGCTGAGTCACAAATGATTGATGATCATGCTAATACACCATCCTCCCTACTCCAGCAGCACCGTGTCTATACCCTAAAATTGATTTCCAATGGATTCAAAAAGTTTCTACCCAGACGTGATGAAAAAATGGGATCACTTGAAAAATTTCTTTTTTATTATAGAATACCTAATGAAAGTATTGCCATCAGTTCTCATAAGGTTCATATCCTGCTATAAAATACTTCTTTTGCCTTTATAATCTGTATCAAGTATCAACTTTAAAAAATCTCTTCAGAAAAGTTATGCAAGGGTGGATACATAGAAGAAATTTGAAATGAGCAGCTTGTGATTCTTTGTTAATTGTTTGCAGGAATCATCTAGTACATATGAGCTTACAGAGGTAAGCACAGGAGGAAAACTGGGCAGGCACAATCTACATATCCAACAACTGGGCCCCGACACAGTGACAGAGTTATCAACTTTACACTTGTCTGTTGGTGATCAAACACAGGATCTGCATAGTAGACTTGTATTGGACCATCCACGGGGCTATTCCCGTCAACTTCATAAGTGCATTGTGACTCATTCATTGGGACAAGCTGTTTTTGATGGGAACATAAAGGTTAACAGGTAATTCGGTTTTTAAAATATACAGTAATAATGATTTATAGTTCTATACCATAAAAACAACAAAACCTATACAAGTTTCGCTTTTAGTCTCATGGTTCAAATATTCAATATGTGAATGAACTATTATGTTTTGAATGTTGATTGTGAACTGAAATCCCTACAATATAATATAATAAGCTTAAGTGATAGTAAATTTGTTTAAATCACTTATTGAGCTAAAACAGGTTTATTTGTTTTCAAATATCTTGTATTTTATCAGATATGGAACTGTATATCACTAGTATACTATTCTCATGCAGGTATGCTCAGCAGACAGATGCAGGACAGTTAACAAGAAGCCTACTCCTTGAACCTCGTGCAACTGTAAATGTTAAACCAAATCTCCAAATTGTGGCTGATGACGTCAAGTGCTCCCATGGAGCTGCAATAAGTGACCTAGAAGAAAGCCAACTCCTGTATTTCCAAGCTCGCGGCATTGACTCAAAGACAGCTAGAAGAGTTCTAATTTTTGCCTTTGGGGGGGAGGTGATAGAAAGGATTCCTTATTCTTCCATTAGAGAGAGAGTAAGAAGTCAGATTAAAAATTTATTGGATCCATCTCCTAATTGATCATCATTATAGGTGTGAGCTAAATGTAAACATTTACATTGCCCAGTAAAATTATGAATTGAAAATTTGAAATCCATATAAAGTTCTTTTTACTTGTCTTGGTTTTTGACTATATCATTGCTTCTACAAGAATGAAGCGTGTAACTACTGTACTGCATGTAACTGATAACATTTTGTGTTTCTTGCATCGCCATGTGCGACTAATTTGTACTTGTATTATTTTTTTTCAATGGAAAAAGTGCATTTGTTTAGTGGAAAATCATTACCTGTGTGTGTGCTGCAATTGGTATCCTCTCATATTACTTACTAATATTGAGAGTTGTATAATGAGAAGGTAAGACAAAAAAAAAAAGTTATAGTAGGTACTATTATTGTTTATTTGGGACTTGTTAATTTTGTTTTTCTATTTTTCTTTCTTATAACATGATCTGTGGGCTTATGTAAATGGATTGTAATTTTTTCATTTCATAAGGCCCCATCTATTTACTTATTGCATGCAGTAGCGTTAAAAAGAAATTATTTGCAAAATATTAGGCTGCAATAGATAGAATTAGTGTCTGAGTTATTAATAAAAAATGTTGAGAATTTCTCACTTTATAACATTGGTAGAATTAATTCTGAAATGCAAATTCGGTTCAAACAATTCGCAGCCAAACATTACATGGCGTTCAAAGCAATAAATAAATCTAACAATCGTGCTTGAAGGTAAGCTCAGAATTATTTCGCACATACTTTACAGTAAATGGGTGAATGATGGTCGCAGAAATTGTGTTCAACATTGTCAGACGATAAATGAAAATAATATTCATAACAGGGCCGAGAAGTATAGTACGTGATATAAATGTAAGTCCCACATCTTATAGTAAGGAGAAAAGTTTCAAGTTTATAACGTTATTTTAGAGACAGGAGGTTGTGTTCGTAGAAAGGAGAGATGGTTGGCATCTCCCCTGACAGGGACGGGAACAGCCTTCGGGCTTTCCTTGTTATCACATCCGGTTAAGGCTACCCACCTCATTGAGGTGGATCTATAACCCAATTTTTTAGCAGGATGAGCAACACCGCAGTCGAAATTAAAAAGTGGTTCGCTAAACTTTAATTTAGCCTCTAAACAACAACCCTAGCACTAAATCAGCAGCATTATATTTAATTATTGTAATAAATAAAAACAAATTTGTACTAAATCAAATGAGTTTATTTTTTTAAATAATTCTTTGAAACATTTCTACACTTTATGCCTTAATCCTCCATAATTTGAATTAATTGCATCGGTAAGACGTTCCTAAAAGAATTCAATAGATTCTTAATCCCAAAAAATTGCTAAGATTCAAACACAATTACGACATGTCAATTGAAAAACTATTACTAAACCACAGAAAAAAGGGAGAGAGAAGCTGTAATAAATATGTTTAATTCTACAAAAAAATGCAATGATCTGATTCTGAATCATGTTAATCCGCAATGGTGGAAATCCACCCTCATGTTCTTTTCTAAGTAGTGGCTGCTCGAGTTCAATCAGTACATTTGTATCCCCACCAATATACACCCAAATTCTCTTGGCTCAGCCAGAGAAAGAACAAAAAAAGTGAAAAAAAAATTTAGAAAGAGCCTCCGCTACGCAAAATTCCTATCATTTTTCATCTCTATAAACCGGGGGAAGAAAGGGGAAAAGAGAGAGACTGCTACAGGAACTAAAAAAAAAAGGTTTTAAAAAGGCTTTACATGGTTCATTGAATTCTCCTAATGAGATAATATGATCACAAAAAAACAGCCAACAGCGAGTTGAGCAAGGTCTCAGAGATACGTCCCTGACGATTTCCAGATTCTTCCTTCGAGTGATATCACCATAACAGTAACATCATCATGGTACTTCCTCCGATCTCCTTGAGGGATATCCAACAACTCGTGCAAATCCATTCCTGCAACAATTGAGCCCAAAATCACCACTCTAAATGCTGATTGCATATAGGCAGTAGTTGAGCAATAAAATAATTCGACGTACTGCACCAATTTTTTACAACTTAAAATTTACCATTACTTGATTCTTCAAGCAAAATCTAGTTAAAACATATCCACATAGCAGACAGGAAGAGTCACATAGCTTTCAGTTATTATATAAGGCATCAATCAAAATAAATTAATATTTAATAAATATTCATTCCCTCCATTTATGTCATTCAACAAATTGGACATGTTCAACAGGACTGCAAAACTACAAGAAAGATTCAAGAAATGAGAAGACTTGTTTACCAGCTTTTTTGGCTGCACGGAGGAGCAGCTCCTCTATTAAACTTTGGGCAGGATCTCCATCCGGAAACTTTTCCATGAAGCTCTCAACTTGAGAAACCACTTCTTGATTGCTTAGATATTGATATAACCCATCAGATGAGAGGATCAAGAACTGATCTCTCGTGCTCAATCTATGGTGACGTAGTGAAGGGCAGCAGGATATATAAGGAGCAGTGCCAATATATTCATTACGAAACATTTCTAGTACTACATCATTCCACTTCGGCTGCAGAAACATGCAAATCATACTGTCAATTAAGCATACCATTGCGTAAAATATTTAAGAAGTCTATACAGCCATGAACAAGAGGAGTGACAAAAAAGTAGGATTTTATTTTCAGAGTGTGGATGAGCATGGACATGTGCAGCAGTACCATAAGCGCATAAAAAAGTGAGATCACATGAAATGTTCTCTTCCATGGCCAGAGTTAAAGTTTAGCACACTCTAAAACCAAGGACCTGGCTTCACTTCTGACCACATATTGCCAAACACAAAAACAAAAGGACAACAACAGACGTAATAGTTATGTACTGGTTCTCTGGGCGCAAACATAAGAAATAAAAATTTCCTGCATATTATTCAAAATAATTTAAACCCTATCTGGAAGGCTTTACTTGTAAACATAAAGTTCTAACCTACAGTATGCAAAGAAAATTTTATAGAGAACCGACATTTTATAATATAAGTTAAAACTAAAAATGACAATCAATGCTTATCAATCATTTTCTCTTTTCTATTTTATAACATAAAGTTCTAATAATAAGTGAAAATCAATGCCAGAATTCACCCAGCAATGGACCTTATCAATCATCTTCTCTTTTACATCAATGAGAAGTGTGTTGCAAGAATGAAGTATAACTACAATAAAGTATTTGAAAAGACACCTGTTTCAAAAATCCAGCGCCAAATGCTCTGGTGACCTTAAGACGGCCTTTCACTCTATCATTTACAATACATTGGCTATCATCAGGGTGTTCATTCTTAATCCTAATGACTTCCTGCGAAACAACAAGCTCCAAAATTTAGACAACTGATATAACTTGATCACAGCACGATTGAAGAAAAAGGAGACAAGACTATAGTAATAACTGCAACAACTTTTAAAATTAAAACTTATAATTGAAAAGGAAACATCATGTAAGCATGAAGCCAAAGATCTAACATCTTGAATTGAACATCTCACATGACTCGTCAATGAAAACTACCATGTTTTATTTAAACTTTATGCCACTAGATATAGAAGCAGAATGCAGGATATAATGAAAGTATGAAAGAAACAATAGCATCCCTGATAGGAATACAGACAGCTCAAGGAAAACTACACAAAGACAAGCAGACACAAACACTCATATAGACAATATATACAAAAGCACACAGGAGTATACGATTAGCAAAACTCCATGGGAAAAAGCAGCATCATTGGCAACAAATAACAATCAGTATTAAATCCCAGAAAGCTACCAAAGGAATTACAGAACAGTTAAAGGGCGCTGATGCTTTACAATTAACCATGAAATCTTGCACCTTCAAGTGTAAGTAGGTACTAGAAAGTATATGAGCAGAAGGAGCAATAAACATAGACAAAATCAGGAAAAGGAATAATACAGTGTTTGACTGTCTGAATGAAAACAGGGGGCGGAGGAGAAGTAGCTGAAAGGCCAAATTATAAACTTGCCTCTTCAATGCTCGTGCTGTGGTCAGTGGATAGCTGCAATGCCACCAACCTCGTTTCTTGAGCAGGACCCTCATTCCCCAACTTGATAGCACTTTCACCCAGAGATAAAGACTCCTCAACTATACTCTCCTTGCTTGACCCAATATCTCCATTGCTTCCGGATTCCTTACTAGAATTAACCTCTCTGGACTCATAACGTGCCACAATGGCCCTGCTATCTCCCACATTCATAACATAAACATCCTCATCCCTCATTAAAACAACTAAGAGGCATGATCCCATTAAAGCAAGCTCAGGGTTCGTATCAATAACCTTGTCCGTCATATCTAAATATGCAAGTTCAGTCATCTCAAGTGCCCGAGACAATGCCCTCAAAACCAAATCATGATCCACAGGACCCACTTTCCGCTTCCTACCACTATCACCACCACGGGACTTCTCTGCCGGATTTTCCACCTCAGCCTTCTCCTTATCCTCTGTGCCCAAGTTCCAAGGTAACAACTTTCTTCCATGACCCTCCTTATGCTTTGATAATCCATGCTTCAACTTTGACATCAGGAGCCACCGTCTACTACCTGCTGACCCCTCCTTGCTAACGCTGAGTGCATCATCAACGGAGAATGCAAATCTATCTGACCCTGAAAGATCAAGCCCATCTTCAGCATCATCTTCCGCAAGAAACTCCCATAGCCTACGCCGGTTACTCCCAGTTCCCTCTACCTGAAACGTTACTCTCTTGGCGGATCCCGGAAGAGGGTTGGAGTCTTGTTCTCGTTCAACCCCCCCTTCATTTTTGGGTTCAGTTTCATCCGCAACAGCAAGCACTGCAGGTGCAGGTGCAGGGTTAGTTTCCTGCGCCTCTTCAACTTCCCAAAACAAACCCTGTAGCTCACTGTAAACAGCACGGTAAAGATAACCCATCAGAAACTCCGGCGCCTCAGGGCCATTGAAGCCGTCGTAAATCCCCACAAACAACCAACCCTGCTCTTCCGATACAACCACATGCACTCGATCCTCCCCTGCCTTTCCGAGCGCCCACTGCACATTACTCTCTCTCTCCCTCTTCGCCTCCGTCGTCCCTTCCCTCGCCGGAGCCTCCTTCCTCCCAATGAAATTCAACACCGGCACCACCCACGGCCGCTTCTTCTCCGAAAGGTTCCGCTGGAACGCCTTCCGGAACCTGCCAACACCATTCCTCCGCTCCTTCTTAACATACAGCCCACCCAGGGGAGCCGAGAAAGGTACCCCACCGGCGGCGGCGTCAACGGAGGCGCCGTCGTCGAGAGGACCGGAGAGGGTGCCGGCGGCGTTCTCAATTGGACCGGAGAGGAAGAAACCCCTCCTCTCGCTGTCCAATGATTCAGCTTCACCTCCTCCTCCTCCTCTGGGAACAGGCTGAAGCGGGAGAGCACTAAACGACGACGTACTTTTGAAGCCATTTACAATATTACCCCCGGAAGCGGCATCGTCGTGGGTGTTATTATCTAAACGGAGAACGGTTTTCGGGGCGGAGCTGTTGGCACTGACGGATGCTCCGGAAATGGCCTTGAATGCGGTTTCGGGGAAATCGGGTCGGGTCCTGGGGAGGAGCTCGTGGGAGGGAGAAGAACGGAGTGAATTAGAAGGAGAGAGAAAGCGATCGGAGTTAGTGGGTGAAAGAAAACGAGCCGAAGATCTGACGTAGCAGAATGAGTGACCTAGGGTTTCATCCAATGGCTGAGAGTCGTCGAAGATGAGTTGCGGTTCGTTAGGGGTCCGGTTCGCTGCTTTGAAGCAAGAAAAGAAGTTGCAGAGTCCATTACTTCTACTTCCCATCACATTTGAATCGCAGAGGATCCCAACCCGGGAAAACAGAAAAACAGAAAGAAAAGAAAACACACACTCACTCACCCTCCCCTTCAAACACGAGTAAGAGAGACCAGGGTCAGAAGGGTGGGTGAGCAAAACAAATCAAACAAGAGGGAAGAAAGAAAAAACAAAGGACTCTCTCTCTCTCTCTTGTATTTTTCTGTTACACTTTTCTTTTTTCTTTTTTGTAGCTGAGGAGAAATTCAAATAATAGAAAAATGATAATAGTTTTCAAATCAAAATATTTGTCGTGCTGTGTGCAATTGTTCCCACTGTCTGTGTTTGACGGTTACATGAGCTGGCATCCTCGCGAATTTTGTGTCTCCATTTTAATAAAATTTTAAACGGTAATGACACGCACGACTCCAGGTCAGCAACCTGCGGGTCTTTTGCAACCCTCGTTAAATGACTTTTATGACCTTCTACGCTTCTAAACTCAACAATAATTCTTTACTAGTCCCACTTATACCATAATTAAATTAAATTACCCTCAATTAAAGAGTGTAGTGTAGACATTTAAAATCTACATCAAACGATTTATTATGATGAAATTGGTAATATCGCCGGATTGGTTCACTTGTAAATTTGAAATACGAGCTCCGGTCTTCTTCTTCTTCTTTTTTTCTTAAGGGGTGTTTGGTTCAAGTTTTTGGAGAGGATTACCGGTAATCCTTCTTTGGTAAATGTAATTACCACGTTTGGTAGAAGGAATAAATTACGATTCCCGGATATCCAAGGATTACCGGTAATTTGATTTATAAAGAAAAGTCACTATTCAGATTACCAAAAATAATATGGTAATTCGGAATACTAATCAGAATACCAAGTGAAAAGAAAGCACAACAATAAATTTTGAGACAAAAATACCCCAATACACATGAAAATCTAGACCCAATCTATCAATTACAAAAGTAAAAATAGTTTGGGGTTATTTTTGTAAAATAACCTCATATTCCAAGTCATATTTCGTTCTAAACCAAATATGGAATCAGTAATTTTTACCCAATATTCCCGGTAATATTTTGGCGAACCAAACACATCTTTCGTAAGATTCCAAGTAAACTCAATTTCTACTGAATTCCCATTAATCATGATTCCCGGTCACCAAAAAATTTCTCCTGTACCAAACACACCCTAAAGGATATTATTATGGGTTCATTTTTCTACGGTTAACGTAGATAATTTATTTACATTTAATTTAAAATGATGTCATTTTGAGACGAAAATTAATGTATTTTTATAATTATAATTTATTTCAGGATTATAATTGTATTTTTTATTTTAATTTTTTAACCCAAAACAACGTCATTTTGAAAGCGAATGTAGATAACTTATCTACATTCACTGTAGAAACATTAAAGTCTATTATTATATAACAATACATATTAATCTTTTAAATATTATTACAACTAGTTCCGTATCAAAATATCAATTATCTTAAAGTAAATTTTATTTTATTTTATCTATTATTTTGAAAAAATAAAATATTACAAAAGTATTAATATGTTGAGTATTTTAATATATTAGACTTATATTTTAATTCAATTGATATTATTTGATAATTATCATAAAAAAAAAATATATTAAAAGCGTATATTTTTTTAAAGAATATTAACTAAGAGACTATTCTATATCAATTATCTTTTCGGAAACTAAATGAACGCCACATATGACACCTGTAACGTCTGGCCACTTGCAGGATAAATGATTGTTCTGACAAATTAATACAAGACTTTTCAGTGTGCTTTTGTCCTCACTCACACACTTTCTAAAAAAAATTCAAAAAATTATCCATCCCATAATTGCTCTAAGTCAAGCACGCTTCACTATGAAGTTCTTAAGTTATAGACTAATAGATGCATCTTGTTAGTATATGTACCAACCCTTGAAAATTCAAGGGTGTAAGGGAAAAGATAAAATCCCATATTGATTAAGAATTGTCCTAAGTGAATATCACCTAATTGGAATGCTTTACATATAAACTATGGGAAAAATATTTGTCATTTTAAAGGATATAACTTTATGTCATTTTAGATCCTAACTGTTAATTTTCGTCAAATAACGGTTATAATTTATTAGGTCAAACTTATTAAATAATTAGTAATTCGCAAAAAATTATAATCGTTGATTGACGAAAATCAACGGTTATGATCTAAAATGACAGAAAATTATATCCTTTAAAATGATAAACTTTTATCTATATATATAACCTGAAATGATAAATTATATTCTGAAATGGTAATTCAAATTCTGAAAACAGTTGAAATTTAACCTCCAATTTAAGATTGTAACCGTTGACATGTATCCCATAATTTATAATTATTTAATACTAGTTTAATTACCTTTTATTGTTGTAACTTGTAACCCTATATATATGGGTATCATTATGCTAATGAGATTAGAGATTTTTCTGAACACAATCTCTCATCTTCCCTTGATTTACTCTATATCTTTCTCTATGATTTTTTTTGCTTTCTCTCCTACGAATTTCCTTTTCTTGAGACCCTTCTTAATAACAAGTTATTAGCATAATTAGCTCCCTGAAAAAAAAAATATGCAACAACCCCCAAGGGTAGCTTAGTTGGCAGCTGAGCTCCCAAGGGATTGCTTGGTGCAGGGATCAAACCCTGCCTCAAGCTTAGTGCACCCACTGTTACAATGAGGGGCTAGCCCAAACGGGCCGTACCCCGAGGGCATGGTGCCCGGAGAAGGTTGAATGGGGATACCTCCTGGCAATGTACCAAAAAAAAAAAATATGCAACAACATTTTCTTCAAAACCAAAGCCTTTTATAAAAAGAAAAAAATTTGTTCTTGCTCCTCAGAAGAGAAAAAGGAACAATTTTTTTGTCTACAAGGTAGTACATTCTTCCTTTTACTCTCCTTTTACCATTTTTCTTCTTCTTCTCTTTTTTCTTTTATCTAAAATTTAACATACCCTTTTGTCCCTGAAGTGACCGTAGATATTTTGCTCTTAAAGTAGAAGTATCATGACAAACATTGAAAAGTCTAAGTTTCACATCTTGGAGGTGAGTGGTGACAATTACCCGTCTTGGTGTCTGTTTAGGGGCAAGGTCTCGTTAATGCTATTAAGAAGTTAGAAGCTCTAATGAAAAGGGTGAGACAAATGCACTGATTTTTATCGCCGTCATTTGCATGAGAGACTGTTCGAGACCCTCAGATCCTTTGGAAAAGGTTGAAGGTTAGGTATGATCATACCAAGACTGTCATCCTTCCTCAAGCTCAATATGATTGGCAGCATATCAAGATGCAAAATTTTAAATCAGTGTCTGATTATAATTCTGTCATATTTGATATTGTCTCACCACTTGAGTTACGTGGTAAGTTTCACATCCTGGAGGTGAGTGGTAACAATTACCCGTCTTGGTGTCTGGACATGGAGATGCACCTTCAAGGGCAAGGTCTCGCTAATGCTATTACATAAGTTAGAAGCTCTAATGAAATGGGTAAGATAAATGCACTGATTTTTATCCGTCGTCACTTGCATGAGAGTCTATTCGAGACCCTCAGATCCTTTGGAAGAGGTTGAAGGATAGGTATAATCATACCAAGACTGTCATCCTTCCTCAAGCACAATATGATTGGCAACATATTAGGCTGTAAGATTTTATATCAGACATATTTTCTCACCACTTGAGTTATGTGGTAAGTTTTACATCCTGGAGGTGAGTGGTAACAATTACCCATCTTGGTGTCTGGACGTGGAGATGCACCTTCAAGGTCAAGGTCTTGCTAATGCTATTACAAAAGTTAGAAGCTCTAATGAAAAGGGTAAGACAAATGCACTGATTTTTATCCACCGTCATTTGCATGAGAGTCTATTCGAGACCCTTAGATCCTCTAGAAGAGGTTGAAGGATAGGTATGATCATACCAAGATTGTCATCCTTCCTCAAACACAATATGATTGGCAGCATATCAGGATGCAAGATTTTAAATCAGTGTCTGATTATAATTCTGCTTTATTTGATATTGTCTCACCATTTGAGTTATGTGGTAAGTTTCACATACTGGAGATGAGTGGTAACAATTACCCGTCTTGGTGTCTAAACATGGAAATGCACCTTTAGATCCTCCGGAAGATGTTGAAGGATAGGTATGATCATACCAAGACTGTCATCCTTCCTTAAACACAATATAATTGGCAAACTATAGGCTGCGAGATTTTAAATTAGTGTCTGATTATAATTCTGCTTTATTTGATATTGTCTCACGACTTGAGTTATGTGGTAAAACGTTAACTGATGTAGAATTGCTAGAGAAAACATTCTCCACCTTTCATGCTTCTAAATTAATATTGCAACAGCAATATAGACAATGCCAATTTGCCACATATTCTGAGTTAATCTTAGTGTTCTTGACTGCTAAGCAAACAAATGAATTACTGCTGAAAAATCATGATCTGAGGTCTGCGGGTTCAAAAGCATTGCCTGAAGCATATGCTAATTCAATGAAAAATTCTGGTTATTTTAAAGATTATGATCACAGGCAAGGAAATTATCATCGTAAAGGTAACATAAAATTTAATCGCCCTAGAAAAGCCAATTTTGGCTTGAATCATGATAAAGGAAAAAAAGGGCAAATGAAATTGGCAAATGAAAACAAAATGGTTAATGATAGTGTCTGCTATCGTTGCGGTATTACTGGACATTGGTTGCGTAACTATCGTACACCAAAATATTTAGTCGATTTATACCAGGCATCTATGGAAAAGAAAAGCGAGGGTGGTGAAATTCACGCCATTGAAATTAATCCCTCTGCTGAGACCAACAACATTTCTGTTGGTGCGAATCCTCTTGCTCTTGAAGTAGCAAATACATACATTGGTAGGATTCCTATGTCTCTTGAAATTAGAGTCATGAAAGACATTTCCCGACATTAGGGGGAGAAAGCCAGAAGCTTAATGAATCCCAGGAAATTATTTTGAACAAAAAAATCAAATGAATTATTTTGGTCCACGTATAAGTATATTTGAACTTGAAGTTCAAAAATATTATAACTTGCAAACTTTAGCACGATAAATGCCAAATATTTCTGATCACAAAGGAGTGA